TCGTGATGAGCCTGAGGGGTGTTCTTTCCCCAAAATGACCAAGTCGCTGCACATTATCCCGCTTATTACACGGCCAGACACTAAACAAACTAACGACTCCACGGAGTCGTTAGTTTGTTTAGTGTCTGGCCGTGTAATAAGCGGGATAATGTGCAGCGACTTGGTCATTTTGGGGAAAGAACACCCCTCAGGCTCATCACGATCAGCCTGACTGATTACGTAAACACCAGGATTACTAATCTACCCGCACAATCTTTCTCTGGTGTCGGAATGTCTCGCGATGTTAGTGAATTCTTAAAAAACAAAACACCATTTAATTTCGGGTTAAAATGTGTTGTTACTGCTTTACTGAGAATTGTAACGGGTAGTATATTACCCAAATGTCATTAGTAATGCGTTACATTACTTTGCTACAGCAAAAAGTAATACATTACTGTAACGCGTTCCACCCAACACTGCCCTGTATCCAGATTGATGCAAAGCAAGTTCAATTTGACCTTTTTAGAGAGATTTAGCACAGAAAAAAAACACTTCTGGGGTCATTTGGGTGGATTTATCTCTGGCTTCCCTTGGTCGATTTTGATGATTACATCACATCACATGTCACTTGTTAGACGCTTCTATCCAAAGCGATTTACATACTCAATACTGTGGGCAATCCCCACAGGAGCACTTTGGGGTGAAGTGTCTCNCAGACACGGTTATTCTCTTAATTCGTTTTTTGGTTTAGCCGATCCAAATGTAGTGTTTCCTTGAGTTTAGTTTTCTGAGATATCCCAGATTCTAATTTGGATCCTAATGTTTTGTAGGATGAAATCAGGGCAGAGAACAGACACATAGAGTCTGTTGCATTGCATTCGTGGGGACAATGCACTATAGACTCCCTGTGTTTAATCCCTGCGTTCAGTTCCCAATGTATACTTGAGTTCAGTTCTAATTTTTGTTTCTTGGTTTAGTTCCGTAATTGGAGTCTCGAGATTAGTCCGATCGAGTTTAGTGCTCATTTTAGTTCCCAGTTTGCCACAAAGTTGGACTCACATGATTACATCACATCACATGTCACTTGTTAGACGCTTCTATCCAAAGCGATTTACATACTCAATACTGTGGACAATCCCCACAGGAGCACTTTGGGGTGAAGTGTCTCAGGGACACAACGACATGCTGACTGCAGTGGGGTTTGAACCTGTGACCCCCTGATCCCAACACCAAGGCTCTATCCACTGCACCACACGCCTCCCAATTTTGATTGACATATATTTTTAACTGTTAGAGCCAATGGAATCGAGCGGAGGTTCCACATACACACACACGTTACCAAATAAGGAGTGTGACACGTAGCCAGAATTTTTTCGCCGAGGGCTCATTTAGACGCTTCTTGTGAGAGAGGTAAAAATTGTTCATATCGTCAGTTAGCTTAGTTTCTTCCCGTTAAGTGAGTATGACACATTCATAGTTTATTACATTTTAAGAAGCCCTGAGACACAGTTTTGTGAAAAAAAAGCCTGTTAAGCCTTGTAGCCCCCGCCGGCGAGGGCTATGGGGCTTAACAAGGTAAAGTGCTATATTTTGCTATTTGACTCATTGCATAGTAGGGAAGTCTCTGATCAAATCCAGTTTAAGCTGTTTAGATTGAGGAAGTTTAAATAGCTGCCATAGTTTTTTAAGCAATCCAGTTAATGAAGTTATTTAACTGTGAAG